TGGTCTCTCTGTTGAAAATCCTGTGTCTGCCCCAGTCATCTTTTGGAGCCTCCCAACCTGAGGCCCTCCATCTCAAAAAGGCCATCTCTGCCTTTTTCTGATGAGCTGGTAATCTCATTTTGAACACAGGGCCTGGGGTGCTGAGGGTATGACAAAGATATTTCATGCTTATTTCAGCTTTGATTCCTGCTATCCAGGTGTTCTTCTGCTCATATCCAGTTTCGTGGTTATAATCCTTGTTGCCTGTTTTCCAAGTTTCTTACCTTGGAATAACTGTGATAGTTAACAGTCATTGAACTGTGAATTGAAGGTCTGCCTGGTCCAGAATACTCCTTGGACACTCATGTTGCTGTTTGCATAGACAGTGGGTTGCTGGTGTCCTCCATATATTCGACAAACTACTTACTCCCTGGGCACTCATGAAGAATTTCAGCTCCAGAATTTCTCACACTATACTTCCTCTGTAGCATCCAAAGACAGTTTCTGGGCTGTCTTTTTATCCACAGTGCCTCTAATTCCTGGTAAATCCTCTTCAATCTACCCAGTGTCTCTCTGGCACACAATTCCCATGGTGCCTATGCTGAGAAAGAAAGAGCACCTCTGTGGGGACAACAGTTGACTTAAGGTCTGATGTGAAACTCACAGCTTCTTTGGGTTCTAGTTGGTGGCTATTCTGTTTCTCTGCAGGGGATTTTATGGTTAACACTGTGACTTGCTCCTTTTGCTTATGTCGTCTTTTTCCCCAGTGACTTTTCTCCTTCTCCAGATCTCACAGGGGCAGATTGGGCTTCCAATCTCATTCAGAGCTCTCCAAAATGAGATTATTAATGGAAAGAAAAGAGAGGGACAGATTTGACATTAGCGGCATTAAGATGGGTAATGCTATTTAAAACAGATATTTTACCTTTTCCAGATATTTCCAAGATGATATGTTTTAGTATTTCCTTTATTTTTAATTTAAATAAAATTATGCTACCTATTTATAAAACATAATGCCTTGTATTAATACATGTATAATTTGTAGATAAACTAAGTCAGGCCAGTTAACAAGGTTCTTGTCACCCTAAACATCATTTGTGCTTTATTAGAACCTTAAAACCCAACTGTTTAGAAAGTTTAAAATGCATAATATGTCATTATTAACTCTAATTACCATACCAAGTAATATAATTATATGATTTTTTAGGTGCAATCAGGTATCTCGTTCAAATATATGATGGGAATGTAAAGACATTCATACTTTCAAAGACGGTAAGTTCCCATTAGCCAAGATAGATTGGAATGGCAGAGTTAAGAAAAGCAAAACCAGGTCTTCAAATGTAGAGTAAAGCACAGGCTAGGTGAAATTTATCTGATACAATTATTTTTTTAATAAGAAGAAGCACTGGCAAATCCTTTCAAAAGTAACTCTCAACTGTTTTACTTTCTAGGGAGTTAAAGACATTTATTTTTCTTTATATTTTCTATGAATTTTTTATTTTAAATCTTTTATTCATTTTACATACCAACCACAGTTCCCTTCCTCCCCTCCTAGTGCCTACCATCCATTCCTCAGAGAGGGTAAGGCCTTCCATGGGGAGTCATCTAAGCCTGGCACATCAAATTGAGGCAGGACCAAATCCCTCCTGCTGCATCAAGGCTGACACGGCATCCCATCATAGGAAATAGGCTCCAAAAAGCCAGTTCATGCACCAGGGATAAATCCTGGTTTCACTATCAGGACCCCCAAACAAAACAAGCCACAAAACTGTCATCCAGAGAGCCTACTTCTGTACCATGCAGTCTCCCCAGCTGTGAGTCCAGAGTCCATGAGTCCCCACTAGACCTACAATTATTTAAAAGAAACTGCATGTTAAATTTGCAAAACCATGGTAATCTGATAAAAATAAAATGCAGAGGTAGCCGCATTTGCCTAGAAAACAAAATTTACCAAACATCATGAAATGCTTACCATAGAATATAATTTCATCATTATAGTTGAATAATAGTCTTGATTATAGATGAATAAATTGGAAAGAGTGATCTGTCCTATAGTTTTCATTCTAATTTTGTCTCTTCTTAAAACATTTGAAAGGATAACCAAAGAAATCATATATGAATATGCATAATGCTATAATCATTATGAATATTACTATGAGATAATGAGCCAAATGATGATGTCCAAATATGTCTCACTAAGTTTTTATCAATATGAAAATATTGATAAAAATTTGCACATGTTGTGTACCAATGTTGTTTTTTCTCCAATTTTGCTATTGTTTTAAGTTACTCACTAATCATTTTTGCTACTTTTTTGGTAAATTTTGACATAATTTTTAAAAATAACTATAATAATTATAAAAACAAAAGATAAGAATATTAGTTTTGAATACAAACATTTTAATAAATATTTACTATGATACTGCAAGCTTTGGTTTTGCTGAAATGAAGTTAAGTAAATTTTGTAAAACAGAAATTCATAAATGGTATGTTGTATCCAAGTATTTTCAACACATCAAAGGAAGGCAAATATGAGCATTATTAATTGTTTGTCATTTAACAATATGCCACTATTTAGTAATATGAATTTCATTCTTTTTATATTGGTACTTACAAAGTTATATTCTTTTTTATTTTTTTTCAATTTTTTTTTCACTATTTAAAATTGTTTTATTTTTTTTTTGTAAAAATTTCCACCTCCTTCTGTCCTCCCACTTCCCTTCCCTCCCCTCCCCTCCCCTCCCGCACTCCACTTCCCCTCCATCTCTAGGCCAAAGAGCAGTCAGGGTCCCCTACCTTATGGGAAGTCCAAGGTCTTCCCCCGCTCCCCCCAGGTCCAGAAAGGTGAGCGTCCAAACAGACAAGGCTCCCACAAAGCCCATCCACGCAGTAGAATCAAAGCCCAGTGCCATTGCCCTTGGCTTCTCAGTCAGTCTCTACCATCAACCACATTTAGAGAGTCCGGTTTGATCACATGCTCCATCAGTCCCATTGCAACTGGCGTTGGTGATCTCCCATTAGCTCTGTCCCACCGTCTCAGTGGGTGAACGCACCCCTCACGGTTCTGACTTCCTTGCTCATGTTCTCCCTCTTTCTGCTCCTCATTAGGACCTTGGGAGCTCAGTTCAGTGCTCCAATGTGGGTCTCTGTCTCTATCTCCATCCATCACCAGATTAAGGTTCTATGGTAATATGCAAGATACTCATCAGTGTGGCTATAGGATAAGGCCAGTTCAGGTACCCTTTCCTCTGCTGCTCAAGGAACAAGCTGTGGACATCTCCTTGGACACTTGGGAACCCCTCTAGAGTCAAGTCTCTTGCCAACCCTAAAATGGCTCCCTTAATTAAGATATATACTTCCCTGCTCCCACATCCACCTCTCCTTCATCCCAACCATCTCATTCCCTCATGCTCTCCCTATCCTCCCCCTTCTCCCTTCTCTCCCCCATCTCTCCTTATCCCTACCTCACCCCCACCCCCATGCTCCCAACCCCTGCCCAGCAATTTTGTCAACTTACAATATCCAGAAGGATATTGTTTTTCTTTAGGTTCACCCTCTTATTTAGCTTCTCTAGGATCACAAACTATAGGCTCAATGTCCTTTGTTTATGGCTAGAATCCACTTATGAGTGAATATATACCATATTCATCTTTTTGGGTCTGGGTTATCTCACTCAGTAAAGTGTTTTCTATTTCCATCCATTTGCATGCAAAATTCAAGATGTCATTGTTTTTTTTTTTTTTTTTACCGCTGAGTAGACCTCTAAAGTGTATATGTGCCACACCTTTCTTCTATTGAGGGGCACCTAGGTTGTTTCCAGGTTCTGGCTATTACAAATAGTGCTGCTATGAACATAGTTGAACAAATGCTTTTGTAGTATGATTAGGCATCTCTTGGATATATTCTCAAGAGTGGAATTGCTGGGTCCTGAGGTAGGTTGACTCCCAGTTTCCTGAGAAACCACCACACTGATTTCGAAAATGCTTTACTGAGTGAGATAACCCAGACCCAAAAAGATGAATATGGTATGTACTCACTCATAAGTGGATTCTAGCGATAAATAGAGGACATTGAGCCTATAATTTGTGAACCCAAAGAAAAATATATAGTTATCCTCCTGGATATTGGAAGTAGACAAGATTCCCAGGCAAAAATTGGGAACTTGGGGGTGGGGGTGGGGTGGGAGTAAGGAGAGATGGGGAGAGAAAAGTGAGAAGGGAAAGATGGGGAGAGCTTGGGGGAATGGGATGTTTGGGATGGACGAAGGGTGGATATGGGAGCAGGGAAGAAGATATCTTAATTAAGGGAGCCATTTTAGGGTTGGCAAGAGACTTGACTCTAGAGGGGTTCCCAGGTGTCCATGGAGATGTCCCGAGCTAGTTCCTTGGGCAGCTGAGGAGAGGGAGCCTGAAATGGCTCTATCCTATAGTCATACTGATGAATATCTTGCATATTACAAAGTTATATTCTTGATAACCAATAAGTACATAGAACATTTATGAAACTTCTGTTAGATTTATGTAGATGTTTGAAATATTTACACAAATGTGGACTTTCAATAGAATTTTTGTTTTTAATCATACAAGTATTAAAAATTCAACAGAAGTGAATAAAGAGCAGTGGGGGGTAAAAGAGAAGTATGTAAAACATTTAGTACAGTATTTATAACAGACAGAAATAGATTGATACTATAAAGTAGTCCCAACTAGCACAGAACTGAGTGTTAAAAAGGGTTCTTTATTTAGGGGTAGGCTCACAGATCACAGTTCTCTGCACAAGTTGGGAACAGGAACCAAATCCAGCAGCTCATAGAGAGAAAGCAAGCAAGCTTTACGTCACTATTTATAGTATAAGAGATCACACCCAAGTGGGCTGGTATCTTAAAGGCCATTGGCTCAAAGAGTTCCCACAGTAGACAGAAATTTCCTAAAGAGATTTTTCCCATTAAAGAACATTGAACTCAGATGTATTAACAGAATATTGAATATATGATAAAATGGGCAAGTGGGAGAAACAATAGATTAAGGGTAACACATTTATTATCCACAAAGTAAAATGTGGTGCAATCATTGAAAAAAGTTTAAATGAGGGCTGTCCAATCCGAAGTAAATGTGTACAGCATGAATTTTAAAATGTTGTGAGAAAATAAACAAGGTTTCCCTGCTGGTGTGGGTACCTATGGCTTCTGCTTTGAGCTTGTTCGGATGCCACTCTCAGGTCACTTTCTTTCCTTTAAAATACAAGTCAATAAATGTATGTGATTTTAAATGTTTCTCACTGTTTTCAACATTTCCCATAATTGTAAATGGACATGTATTATCTAGTTACTCAGAAAAATATACATATTGATGATTTACATTTTGAAAAAAATTATTCCATCATTCATTCTAAGAGGTGTTAAGATACCAATGAAACATAATGCCTTCCTAATATTCTAACCCCAAAATGAATATAGAAGATTTTCTATTAACAAGACTAATTTGTTAACAGATTGGGAAAAATCTGTAATAAAAAATTCTGTTGCCCACAATGCCCACTCTATTAAATATTGTAGTGCCTCATCAGTACTATTTTAAACAGGAGCCCAGTACTTTTCAACCAAAAGGGTTGGAATATCCAATATCTGGTTAAACTTGAAACAAAAGACACAGAAAATAAGCTAATGACAACAAAAGATAAATGGACTTCCTTGAAGGCTGGAGCTATTTCTGCTATTTCAGTGACAATTTATATTATGAAGGAGCAACAGGCCATTCTGCTGCTGTTCAATCTGCTTGTGGATGAAGAATAGCACTGATATTTGCAGAATTAGATGCACAAGGCAGGAGATCCAGAATCCTAATAACTCAGATTGGATGTTTAGTGCCTTGAGTCTATACTGATAGTGCCTTGCGTTATACTAATAATCTGTGAGATGACAAGAGACTGGGAGAGATGTAGTCATAGCTTTATAAGAGGAAACCCTTTGATTCTTCTCTAAAAGATGATATAGTTGGAGGGTCTGAGATGGGTGAGACTGAGTCAGGATAAACATCCACAGAGGGGATCCAGATCGTCCTGAGCCATGCTTAAAGACCCTAAGCTTGAAACTGGATTTAGACAACTTTGAAAGTTGTTATATACAATGGGGATTTTAACCAAGATTTTTGCGAGTTACATCATTAAGGTACAATGTTGTTTCCTTCTCCTTTGTACTACCCTCTTCTGTGTGGAACTTGTCCAAAATAAGAAATCTGTGGTGCTTAGATATATCGTTTATATGGATAGCATGCTGGCTAGATTTTTGTCAACTTGACATTACCTAGAATCATTTGGAAGAGAGAACCTCAAATAAGAAAATGTCCCTACTAAATTGGCTTGTGGAGAAGTCTGTGGTGCGTTTATTTGATTGGTGCTTCATGTGGGTGTGCCCAGATCACGACTAGACAGGTAGTCCTGAGTCTTATAAGAATGGAGGTCAAGAACATCATGAGAAGCAAGTTATTGGGCAGCACTCTTCCATCATCTCTGAGTCAGTTCCTGTTTGTGCATTCCTGTCCTCACTTCCTTCAGTGATGGAGTGTGATCATTTTAAGTTGAAATAGTCCTTTCTTCCTCAAGTTGCTTTAGTTATGATATTTTATCACAGCATTATAAACCATAACTAAGACAGTACTGCCACAGAAACTCTTGGGAAAATTACATCTTAGTAATCACTTTTTGGAAAATTAAATACACTCAAAATCATTATCTTAATGCATAAATAATCTCTTTGTCCATAATTCCATACTTGGACAAGATTCTCCTTGAATATAAATTCCATTCTTATATTGATAGTTAATAGGCCAGACTTGCTTATGAATTCAATGAGCATTCCTAGCCAGGTTGTGCACACACACACACACACACATGTGTGTGTGTGTGTGTGTGTGTGTGTGTGTGTGTGTGTAAAGAATAAGATTTTTTATATAGAAGTGGGGTTTCAGGAATGCAAAACCCAATGTGTGAGCACATGTCGAGTTTTTGAATTTGGCCAAGCATTAAAATGACTAGCCCAGAGTTAATAGGAAAAAAGACTACACAAAGTTGTAGGTATCATCATCATACCAACAGAAGACTCTAAAAAGAACTTTCTGAAGCTTCACTAAAACTCCTGAAAAGCACTCTGAGTATACTAGAAGTAGATAGAAGAGGAGACATGATAGGTTACTAAAGACTAGTACTTAGATACTTTAAAACACATGGTTTTTTTCTATGCAAATGCTACCTCAGAAAATAAACAATTTTTCACTTTCTGGTTCATCATCTAACAGAATTAGGATGGAGAACTGTAGGAGCATGGAAGATATTATGAGGCTAAAAGGAGAACTATCCCAAAGGGAGCATGAAAAAGCCATATTGAAGCCTCTTAACTTACAACAACCCAAATGCAAACTACAATTGGAAGGATGCTAGAATGCATGTGCTATGAAAGCAGAAAGAGGATTACTATGGGTTAAGGGGTAAAGAGAAGAGGGTTGGGGTGATAGAAGAGAGGAAGAAATAGCGATTTTGGTGATTTAAACAAACTTTAGGATGTATGAAAAAGTCTACAGGAATGTACTAGTTAGTTAGGAAATTTTAACACACACATACACAAAAAAAGTCAAGTGGAAGTACCCTATGGGGGGGGCAATGCTATCCACAGAAGATGTGGGTTATCAAACAAAAATTGCAATACAGAGCAAGAATGCTATTCTATGAATCATTGGTCAGGAAGTCTATACCCATTGCCCTTGGATATCCATTATAAGTACATGGTAAAGTCCCTTTGCTGAAGACAACATACTCATGGATGATAGGACATATAGAAATCAATCTAAAACTACCCAGGAAACTTTCTCCCTCCTGGATGGCTTTTACAGTGCTGGAAAGTTCTACTCATAAATATTTATGCTTATACACCCATAGACCTTGGCTGATCTAAACCTTGGCCAGTGAAGCTTCCTTTTGCAGAGGACAGAAGTCAACACAGAGACTCATAACTTGTCGGAGTGCTGATAACAAGAGACTGTGAGTGCTTAGTCCTAAATGGGACATCTTTATCACCACCTCCCACACACCTTCACACCTACCAGCACTCAGGTAACATTCTATAAGACAAGACAGAAAGAGTGTAAGAATCAAAGGATGGGGAGGAATGCTGTGGAATGCTCTAAGACATGGACTGGCCACTGCACTTATGAACCCACAGAAAATACATAATGCCTACACAAGATTCTAACAGGGATCAGATAAGTTCTCTAGGTCCCACTTATTACTGACAACCTGCTGACAGTTGATAGTTGCTGAGGGAGGGAGAACGCTCTTCTTTCGGGGTATGATGACTGGCATACCTTTCATGTTCCAGTGCAGGGCCCACACCTACATTTGTACTAGTCTCACTAATTGGAATTAGTCAATTATCAGAAGGGACGGAAGAAGAGAAGGGAAGAGAGGAAAATAGAGAGAGAGATACACAGAGAGAGATAGAGAGAACATATGAGGTAGTGAAGAGAAATGATTAGAGAATCTGTGGGAGGAGGTGTAAGGGGAAAAGACCATAGTTAATGAATGAATACTATCATATTTCATATATATATATATATATATATATAATTAAAGAATAAAATAACAAAAAGGAGAATACGTGCTATGTGCATATACACAAGAGCTCTTATTCTTAATCAGTAAGTTGTACAGATAATTGCCTAAATTAAAAATAAGGAAAATTTCATATTCAAACACTTTATATCTAATTTGAATATTTATGAATATTTCTTTACTTTTAATTATGTGTGTATGTGTGTATCAGTGTATCAGTATTTGCGGGTGAATTCAGGTGCCTAAGAGATGAAGGATTAGCTATAGCTAGAGTTTAAAGACATTGTGAGTCACCTGATATATTCAGTGCTCTGAATGCTTGTCAGCAGAAAGAGCTACAAGGGCTCGTAACCACTGGGTGGTCTTTCTAGGTATCCCACTAAAAGGACGAGAATAACAAGAATAAGTCAGGAAATTGACTTGAATGCTGTCCTTGCAATAGGTGACTTCACTTTACTTTAACCAAGCTAAAATTTTCTGAGCATTTAATATTCATGTGTATGTATCAAATACACATTTATTAAAGAGTTCAAATAATCAAGTATTCAATACACTAATAGCAGCACATTGTTCAAAAGAAAACCTTACTGTCAGAGCTATTGTCACTGTTATTCTATTATGCACATGATCTTCTAATTATAACATGAAATAATTGGGTTGTAAATATTTTTATGAATCCCCTTCTTGTTAATATAGTCACATATTTTATTACCATCCAAGAAATGAACTGATGTTTGTGTTGCAATCAATTTTGTTTTATATGCTAAATATTTTAATTTTCACTATTTGAAGTGATGTTAATTTTCAGAACAATTTCAGGAATATATGAAAATTTAATATGGTTAGATAAATTTTAAGAAATACTAAATATAATTATTTTTATTTTGTAATTTTTCTATATCCATCAGTAAAATTTCATTAAAACCTATTCAGATATCAGAAAATGGTAAATTATATTGATATTCAGGAATACATGCATTTTTTTCTTCTATAAAGCTCTTCGAAATGAAGATGAAGTTTGATAAATTGATACTGACAGATCCTCCTTTATAAGTATATAAATTGGGAGACATTGTTGGAGTATTCAGGTGGAGAATAAATTGATTCTCATAGAGCAAAGAAAACCCTGCCCTTGAAAAGTCTAGCCAGGCTGACATCAGGCATAAATGAAAATTGTAACAATTTGTTTATAGTTGGTGACAAAAGTAAACATGGGTAGAAGAAAGCAGCTAGCAAGTTATATCTTTGTGACTTTCCATATAACTATCAATTCCCTTCTAAAGATAATTTAGTATTAAATACATTAAATTAAAAATAAAAGGATAATATTTTTATTATAATCTTACTAAGGTACCAAAATGTATTGGTGAAACACAATTTTTAGAGAAAGAAATCTAGGTAAAGACCAAATGGAGTGATACATTGATGCTTAAGTAACAGTCAATCAGATATGTATTTTCTTGCAATAATTATAAATGATTATTTTAATGATATAATGTCTAAAACAAGAAATATAGGCACAGATTATTTTTAAACTACCACTCAGAAAAATATTAAATTAGATAAAATAATTAAAATTATTGAAAATCAAGAGTATAAAACAAGGAAAGGGAGATAGCTCAGTCAGTAAAGTACTTGCCAAGCAGTTATGGAGCCCACATCCTATTTCCAGAACCTATGCAAAAACAATCCAGGTATGTTGGCACATGCGGTAATGGTAGACACAGGAAACAGAGACAGATAGATCTCTGGAACTCACTGGACAGTTAGTCTACTGAGTCAATGAGTTCCAAGACAGTGAGAGACATTGACTCAACTTCAAAAAGAGGAGACAAAGGATAACAGAAGTACCTAAGGAACAAAACCTGGGGCTGTCCTTTACCTCCACACGCATTTGTACACAGGCATGCATACACATACACAGGCATTATACATATATAATGAAAATATCAGTAAAATTGACTCAGAGAGGCTTGGAGACATCTCACTTAATAAGAGGCCACAACCCACATTGTAAAAATACAACAAAACAAATAAACAAAATTAAAACAGGCTCTCTAATACATACCTGTAACCACAACGCTGGAGAAATATTGAACACACCAGGAATATGAGTCAATGTGATAGCCAAATTGGCAACCTCTAGATTCAGGGAGATACCCTGTCTCAAAAACTAAGATACAGGAGTGATTAAGGAAAACACTCAGGGATAGACTTTAGCCTTCACATGTACACTAACACACATGCACATGCACCAGAACTTGCATACGCACAAACATACACAAGGTAAAATAGATAACTAGGTATGAGCAGTATTAGACAGAACCCCAAAGTTAGCTATAATTAATATATTCAAGAAAATAAATATACTATAGAATTTAGGCTGAGACTATAATCTGTATTTAAATATAACTAAAAGGAAAGGGAGATAAAATTAAGGATTTAAGAGAAAATAGGATACTGTTGTAGTATAAATTACTGATGTTAAAATAGTTCCAAACACCAGACTGAAGAACTGAGATAGACAAGACAGGGATGGAAAATGTACAAAAGACGTTGAAAAGATATGATATATGACAAAAGATCTCAGGTTAGAGGAAATAGAACCCTAGAATGCCTAAGTGTAGAGGAAATGGCACCCTAGAATGAGAGAAAAGTGGGAAATGCAATTCTTAAAGGGATAAGGACAAAATTCCTAAATTGACAAAGTAGGTACATAAAGCCCTATATCCATGACAACCTGGGTTTGTAAGTGCACAGGGTCCAATGACATCATCAGAGCCTGTGCCATTCAAGACCTATGGTGGCATCCCTGTTTTCCTTCTGTGTTTCTGGAGTATTTTTGAACATAATCAGAGCTGCTGATGATATCTTATGATCAATACATCTTACTATTAGATGTAGGTATTATTTACTATAATGCAACAAGAAAGGAATCTCTACACTAAAAAATACTTTCTTTAAGTAAAATGGGTAGTGGTTCACTTCTGCAATCACAGGACTCAGAAGGCTGAGGCAGGAGATTCTCCATGAGTTCAAGGGTAGCTTGTTACAAAGTGTCAAGCCAGCCTGGTTCACAGGGTGAGATATACAGAACTCAAGCCTGAAGATTGTGTACTTCAACAGAACGTTATATAAATACAGCTTCTCTACTCTCTCCATTCTATTCTGAGTGCTCACAATAGCAATATGTTTTAAATATTCTTACTTTATCATTTATCAAAATTAAAAAATATCAGCACTCTATAGTAAATTATACTAGATAAATGCAAAAAGGGTAGATAGGGTATAAACTACTTCCTTCTCGGACTTTACTATTTTATTTAATTTTTCAAAACAGGAATCTGTTCTCAGAAAATAAGTTTTAATTACTCTGAGCCTTATGGGAATGTTTTCATATAATCTCAAGAAACACTGAAAAGCAAAGATCAATATTGAGATTACAGAGCTAAGCCCATAAATAATTCCTGACTTTGTGATTAAAAGCTTGTGATAAAAGCTACAGAAAGTTTATTCTTCATTGATTTTTCAAATTTAGAAAACAGTATCAGGGCTAGAGAGATGGCTTCATGGCTAAAAACACCATATGCTCTTCCAGAAGACCCAATTTAGATTCATTGCACCCCTTGGCAGCTTATAACCATCTACAATTCCACTCCTAGAGGATCTAATCTCCTCCTCTGGCCTCAGTGGATGCCAGACACATACAGGGTACACAGTTATACATGTAAATAATACACCTATACACATCAATAAAATGAAAAAGAAACAGTGTCCATAACAGAGTTGTGAGAGAGTAGTCCTGCCTGAATGAGGTAGAATTTGAAATTTCATTTATTATATATAAAAAGAAAGAACAGTAAGAATTTGGATAGCATATGAAAAACAAAGCTTATATGCTAATGTGGGTTTTCTTATTCAACATTTAAACAAATCCTATGATAGATAGTTGTACATATTATACAAAAAAATGACCTTAGAATAACAAACCACCTGCTTCCATATGGAAATTTTAATCTTTTCTGACAAATAATTTCTAAGTATTACTCTCAGAAGCATGTGAACCAAGATGTCTTACTGACTTGACAAATTGCTTACCCAACAACAAATGTCAAGACAACTTGTAAGAACCTTCAGCAAACTAACTGTCATAATCTGCGCCACAGGCAACTTCAAGACCCTTCCTTAACCTTGGACTCCCTCTAAAAACAGAATCCTTTGACTATCCTATGACCATTTTAAAACTGGAAAGATTGAGAGAAAATATGCTTCAAATGTGGATGAATTCATGAAATCAAAAAGAACATCAACATAAGTCCACAGAAAAAGTATCAGCAAAAATAAAGTGAGGAAGTAGTGTTTTACCCACCCCATTTGGACCACTATCTCTGGCTTAGCTGGCTGTTAGCAATCCTCTCACCCATGGAGGATGGAAAGCAGTGTGACTAATGGACTAAGAAGTTACACTAGAGTGTGAAAAAAGAGCAGTCCAGTAGAGGAGATGCTACCATGGCAGTGTTGACTACACGGCTCTATAGGGAACATAGTATTTTAAGAATATAAAAAAGTTTGGTGACATAGTATTGACAGTTGCTCAATTCAGTACCTCTAACTCCATTCTGTAAAAGAAAATTTCTCCCCAAAAGTAGATGCCCAAGTAGTTCAGAAATAAATCTGAGCATTATAACATCTACCATATTCTACCATTCAAAATATTACTTTTAGATTTTTAATGACACAGTAAGTTTCACTTGTGAATGATCATAAAAAAATTCATCAATAAATAGGCAAATTACATTACATTTCACAAAAGTAAATTTATCTATTTAATTTTGCCCTTGGAACTGTATGTGTTTGTCTGTGTGTGTGTCTGTGTGTGTGTGTGTGTGTGTGTGTGTGTGTTTATGTGTGCTTGTGTGTGTATGTATTTAAAAGGCCCCTCCTAAGTTTTTTTTAAAAAAATTTGACCAATTGAAACAGACTCTCCACATCCCTCACTTAAATACAATACATTTATTAGAATTAAGCACAATGTGCCAAGGACTCTCACAGAACAGTGTCTGGAACTTCAGAAAGGATTGGTCATCTTATTTATCTTGTTTTTAAGCATCAATATTGATCTTACTGAGCTATACATTTTCCTCTGCTCCCCTCACTTTTTCACTCCCCTCCACTTCAACCCTCTCCCACGGAACCCATGCTCCCAATTCACTCAGGAGATCTTGTCTTTTTCTACTTACCATGCAGATTAGATCTATGTATGTCTCTAGTGTCCTCGTTATTGTCTAAATTCTCAGGTTGTAAGTTGGTTTTCTTTGCTTTATGTTTAAAATTCACCTATGAGTGAGTACATGTGATAATTGTCTTTCTGTTGCCTCACTCAAAATAATGTTTTCTAACTCCGTACATTTTCCTGCAAAATTCAAGATGTCGTTATTTTTTCTGCTGTAGTACTCTATTGTGTAAATGCACCACATTTTCCTTATCCATTCTTTGGTCAAGGGGCATTTAGGTTGTTTCCAGATTCTGGCTATGAAAAACAAAGCTGCTAGGAACATACTTGAGCACATGTCCTTGTGGCATGATTGAGCATCCTTTGAATATATACCCAAAAGTGGTATTACTGAGTCTTGAGGAAGGTTGTTTCCTAATTTTCCGAGACATTGTCACACTGACATCCAAAGAGGTTATACCAGCTTGCATTCCCACCAGCAATGCAGGAGTGTTCCCTTTTCCCCACAACTACTCCAGCATAAGTTGTCATCAGTGTTTTTGATCTTGGCCATTCTGACAGGTATAAGATGGAATCTCAGAGTTGCTTTGATTTGCATTTCTCTGATGACTAAGGATGTTGAACATTTCCTTAAGTGTCTTTCAGCCATTTTAGCTTCCTCTGTTGACAGTTCTCTGCTTAGGTCTGTACTCCATTTTTTTAAATTGGATTATGTGTTCTTCTGGTGACCAATTTCTTGAGTTCTTTGTATATTTTGGAGATCAGACCTCTGTCTGGTGTGGGGTTGGTGACGATCTTTTCCCATTCTGTAGGAAGCCGTTTTTGTCTTGTTAACCATGTCCTTTGCTTTACAGAAGCTTTTCAATTTCAGGAAGTCCCATTTATTAACTGTTTCTCTGTGTCTATACTACTGGCATTATATTTAGGAATTGGTCTCCTGTGCCAATACATTCATTCAAGTGTACTTCCTACTTTCTCTTCTATGAGGTTCAGTATTGCTGACTTTATGCTGATGTCTTTGACCCATTTGGACTTGAGTTTTGTGCATAGTGATAGATATGGATCTATTTTCATTCTTCTACATGTTGATATCCAGTTATGCTAGTACCATTTGTTAAATATGCTTTCTTTTTTCCATTTTATATTATTTTTTTGCTTCTTTGTCAAAAATCACATGTTCAAAGGTGTGTGAATTAATATCTGGCTCTTCTTTTCAGTTCCATTGGTCCTCCTATCTGTTTTTATGCCAATCTCAGGCTGTTTTCAGTACTGTAGCTCTGTAGTAGAGTTTGAAGTCAGGGATTGCAATGCCTCCAGAAGTTCTTTAATTGTACAGGATTGTTTTGGCTGTTCTGGGTTTTTTGCTTTTCCATATGAATTTGAGTATCATTTTTTTCAAGGTCTGTGAAGAATTTTGCTGGGATTTTGATGGCCATTTTATTGAATCTCTAGATTACCTTTGGCAAGATTGCCATTTTTACTATATTGATTCTACCTACCCAAGAACATGGGAGATCTTTCCACTTTCTGGTATCTTCTTCAATTTCATTCTTCAAAAATTTAAAGTTCATTCCATACAAGTCTTCCCCTTGTTTGGTTAGAGTTACTCTGAGATATTTTTTGCTATTTGTGGGTATTGTGAATTCTTTCTCAGCGCATTTATCATCCATGTAATGGAGGGCTGTTGATTTTTTTTTAGTTAACCTTATATCCTACTACATTACTAAAAGTATTTTTGAGTTGTAGAAGTTCCTTGATAGAATTTTTGGGGTTGCTTATGTAAACTAAAATATCATCAGCAAATAGTGAGAGTTTGACTTCTTTTCTGATTTGTATCTCATTGATCTCCTTTTGCTGTCTTATTGCTCTTACTAGAACCTCAAGAACTATATTGAATAGATATGGAGAGAGTGGACAACCTTGTCTTGTTCTTGATTTCAGTGGG